TTATTTTTTTCTCTTAAGTATCTATTAAGTTATTTTTTTTCTCTTAAGTTCGAACTTACGACAATTAGAAAGATCGTAAATTCGGATTCTCAAGAGATCGTAAGTATCTACTTTTCGGGAAAGTATAAAAATTGGCTCTTATCATTTTTGCCTTTGGAACCCTTTTTTTTTAGCTTTTTTATTAGGATTATTATAAACAAAGAGTATTTTTTTTTTCATTTATACGACACATTAAGTTACTATACAAATATTTATTGTAATGATTGACACCAGGTTACTGCTAGGTTAGGTTGCCTTTATGGTACTACAACCTGTGTACACAGGGTCCCATAAAGGCGACCCAACCTGGACCATGCAAGGTTACCAGTGTACCTTGGTCGACGTGTCTCGCCTATCTCTATAGTAGGGGGCTCGGCCAAGCCTCGGCACCCAGCCCTTGGCAGCCTCACAGCCCCTAGCAGTGACCGACAGCCTTTGGTGTCATCTCATAGCCCTTACTAGCTGTACACAACTAGCAACTTATGAGCACCCTTAGAAACATCACGTAGACCTTATGGGAGCATCAAACAGCCTCCTCAGAGACAAATAGCTCTTAAGAGCCTCACACATCTCCAGGTTGCCACAAACATCACATACCCCCTTGAAGTTACACGGCCTTGAAAATAATTTATAACATGTACAACATTTGAAAAAAAAATACAATTACAAAAGTTTATCCAGAAGAAAAATTCCTTGGTTACAAAGCAAGTTGTGAACACGTAAAATACAAAGTTCTCAAATTATAGCTACCGTATACTGTATGTACAGGTAGGTAGATACTGCCATCACAAGAGATTCTCAAAGATTCTTGCATTAAATTTACCTTCTAGATGGAGATGTGAAAATACCTCTGCATCCAAATGAGTATTGATTTTATATTCAGGTTACTATAATTAAATACAGTCTCTTATCTGTAGTTATAATTGAAAAAATAAACTATACGAGTATCTTTGAGAATCAAAACTCATAATCTTTTATAGATGATTTTCATAGTGGGCAATGAGGGAAGCAGATACAAGTAAGGATACATGATAATTCCTTTTTGTGTTTCTGCTAAGCTATTGTGGGAATAAAGTCTTTTAATATGAAATTAAGATTCATTTACCTTCGAAGGATCAACAAGTAAGTAATGTGCTGTCCTGTATATTTAAGAATGTTTATAATTACCACCGCCATGCCTGGAAGTAAGTTGTTAACATAGCATGACTGATTCTATGAAGTAATAGAAGTATAAAAACTTCAGTAATGATAAATAAGTGATGGGAGTAAAAAGACTTGAAACATGAGGTATAAAGTCTAAGATGACAATAACTTGTGGCTAAAGTGAATAAAGGTCTCTTAAGAAAGAGACAAATATTGATATAATCACAGCCCTTATGTTTGAAGGGCTCTGTAATACAGGAAAAAATAAGTCAATTTATCAAAATTCCATAGAAACTCAGGTGGAATGTTGTTGTACAATTCTTACGGTGTCTCTTTAAGATTTCCAGAAGCAAGTGCATCTCTTTCAATCATATGAAAAATAAACTACAGGACTACTCTTAAGCACAAGCCTCACACCTTACAATACAAAGGTTCCACAAACTGTAGATGGAGTTACTCGGCCAGGGGAATTTTATATCACAGGTTACTGGAGCATAAGGCTAACCAACCTGACACAGTATTGTATAATATACAAATGCAGACTTGGGAAGGTTGGTAAACAAAGTCAACAAGTCTTAAAAACAATACGCATTAGATATTTATGATTTAAAGGATAGCATCAAGAACTGCTGTAGTTCCTGCCAGAAAAACAATTACCCCGGGTATGTGTCCTAAAGTAGCGCAGTCTGCAACCTGTATTACAAAAAGCCACCTGGGTATAAGCATACAAAAATCACAAGACTATTCTAAATTTAGGTAATCCTGGATGTTGGTCACATAAGTACTTCTCCCAGACCCCCCCATCTATCCATTTGAACCTCCATCTATCCCTTACCAGACCTCCATCTATCCCCTTCCCAGAGAGCCATCTATCCCCTCTCAGACACCCATTAATCACCCTCCAGTTTTCCATATATCCCCTTCCACACCTTCATCTATCCCCCACCCAGACTCCCATCTATACCCCCCAGATCCCCATCTATCCCCTCCCAAACCTCCATCTATCACCTTCCCAGACCTCTATCTATCCCCAGACCTCCATATATCCCCTTCCCAAATCTCCATCTATCCCCTTTCAGCCCTCCATCTATCAACCCCAGACCCCCCCCCCACATCTCCCCTTTCCAGACGCCCATTCATCCCTTCCTAACCTCCATTTATCCCTTCCCAGACCTCCAACTATCCGCCTCCCAGACCCCATCTACCCCCTCCCAAATTCCCATCTATACCCTCCCAGACCCCCATTAAAAAACCTCTCAAAGCTCCATCAATCCCCCTCGCAGACCCTCATCTATCCCACTCCTAAACCTCCATCTATCCCCCTTCCAGACCCCCATCTATCCCCCTCTCAGATCTCCACCTATCCCCTTCCCAGACTCACTAAAGATAAGGGAAACCAAATACAGGACTCATAGTTGTAGAACTGTTGTACAAGAACAGGAGAATCGACCCAGAGGAATGCGAGTTCAGTATTGCTGGATAGGACTCATTTACGAACCTTTCTCAAGAAACTTGCAAGAGGGGTGTGGTTATCTTTGCTAAACAAGACCAGTCTGGTGGCCCTCCTTTTAACATATTCAACCAACTGACAGTCCCTAGCATATCTCGGAGACCAGACGGGGTGACAGTACTCCAGATGGGGAAGCACTTCACTCTTGAAGATCGTTACGAGGGACGGACCGTCTAGATATCTGAACGACCTTCTTAGAAGACCCAATAATTTATATGCCTGATTTACCTTCTTCTCGCAATGGCCCGAGAACTTCAGCTCATTGTCAACATACACACCTAAGTCCTTCTCACATTCAGTCTCAAATAGTGCAGTTTCTTCATCCCGTTGGGACATATGATAAGCCTCCTTACCGTTGGTAAGAGTGAAGTGCTTCCCCATCTGGAGTACTGTCACCCCGTCTGGTACCCGAGATATGCTAGGGACTGTCAGTTGGTTGAAAATGTTCAAAGTAGGGCCACCAGACTGGTGCCTGCACTTCGGCATCTCAACTACCCTGAGAGATTGGAGGGCCTAAACTTGCCTAGCTTATACTACAGACGGGCAAGGGGCGACCTAATTGAGGTGTATAAGCATCTCAAGGGGCACTACTCAGTCGAGTGTCCTTACTTGGAGCTGGCGGATACTCGCCCCACAAGGGGTTACAGCTCAAGATTGAAGAAGCCGCAGGTCCAGAAAACTGTGAGGGCAAACTTTTTCGGAGTGAGAGTTGTGAACTCTTGGAACAGTCTACCAGAAAGTGTTGTGACGGCACCGAGTGTGAACTCTTTTAAGGCCAGACTTGACCAACACTGGAGCAGGTTCAGGTACATTCAGGAGCCGGTGCATGCCAAGTACTTGCCAACAGTGAACAGAGACGCGACCGATCGCCTAAGCAGCTAACGAGTCGATATGTGGTGAAGTGGATAAAAGTAAAAAGAGAAACAGAGGCCCAAGTGTCGAACAACGTGACCCCATGACCTGCCTGGTGCTCGTGATGATGACAACTAAATTTACTTAGTGTTAATCATATAAGTAAATTTTCTTGCATTGCGAGGAGCAAATATGATCAACTGACGAGCCTTCTATATATTATGAAACGAACAAGCCAGTTCTGCCACGCACGCAACACCAAACTACGCAGTTGTGCTGCAAGAGATGCAAAACAACGCGTCGTGACTTGAATGATAACAATGTTGAATAAAGGGATTCATTATAATCCCAATAAGCCATCCGAGGGTGGATGGCTCACGGGCGTGTCCTTGTTGTTGTGTTCCTGTCCAGGGTCAACACAGTATCGGAGGGGAAAGTCAGAACTGTCAGAAACAAACTGTAAAAGATGGATAACAGCAGCAGCAACAACAGCTGTACCAGCAACAATACCTGCAGCAACAGCAACAGCACCAATACCAGCAGCAGCAACACAAGCAGCAACAACAACAGCTGTACCAGCAACAATACCAGCAGCAGCAGCAGCAAAACCAGCAGCATCAGAAACATCAGTAGCACCAACAGGAACACCACTAGCAACAGCACCACCAGTAGCAGCACCAACAGGAACACCACTAGCAACAGCACCACCAGTAGCACCACCAGCAACCATCAGCATCAGCACCACTACCAGTAGCACCACCATTATCAGTACCACTACCAGGAGCAGCAGCTGTAGCCCCACCAGCAGCAGCACCACGAGCAGCAGCATCACCACCACCAGTAGCACCTCCACCAGCACTACCACCTTTAGGACCACCACCAGCAGCACAACCACCATTACTACGACCACCAGTAGCACCACCACCAGCAGCAACAACAATAGTACCATCAGCAGCAGCAGCAACCACCAGTAGCTGCACCAGCATTATCACTACCAACAGCTCCTGCAGCAGCAGCAGCAGCACCACCAGCAACAGCACCACACCAGAAACACCAAGACCACCAGCAGCAGCACCACCACCAGCAACACCAAGACCACCAGCAGCAGCACCACCAGCAACAGCAGTAGCACTAGCAGCACCACCACCAGCAGCAGCAGCACCACACCAGAAACACCAAGACCACCAGCAGCAGCATCAGCAGTAGCAATAGCAGCACCAGCAGCAGCACCATCCGCAGCAGCAGCACCATCCGCAGCAGCACCAGCAGCAGAAGAACCAGCACCAGCATCACTAGTTGCAGCACCACAAGCAGTAGCACCATCACTAGCAGTAGCACCATCACTAGCAGCACTACCAGCAGCAGTACCAGCAGCAGGACCATCAGTAGCAGCAGCACCGACAGCAGCACTACCAGCAGCAGGACTAGTAGCAGCACCACCACCACCAGCAGCAGTATGTGCAGAACTACCAACAGCAACAGCACGAGCAGCAGCACCACCACCAGAGCACCAGTAGCAGCAGCACCATCACTACCAGAGCACCAGTTGCAGCAGCATCAGCACTCGCAGCAGCCGCACCGCCACCGCACCAACACGAATAGCAGCAGCCCCAACAGCAGCAGCACCAAAACCAGCAGTAGCACCAGCATCAGTAATACAATACCAGCACTAGCAGCACCAACAAGCAGCACCACCTCCAGCAACAGCACGAACAGCAACAGCAGCAGCACAAACAGCAGCACCAGCAGCAGAACCAACAGAACGAGCAGCAGCATCAGCTGCAGCGCCACCAGCACCGCACCAACACCAATAGCAGCAGCAACAGCCCCAACAGCAGCAGCACCAAAAGCAGCAGTAGCACCAGCATCAGTAATACAATACCATCACCAGCAGCACCAACAGAAGTAGCAGCAGCTGTAGCACCACCACCAACAGCCTGCAGCAGCAGTACCACGAGTAGTAGCATCATTAGCAGCAGCAGCAGCACCAGCAGCACCAGCAGCACCACCGGCAGCAGAACCACCACCACCAGCATTAGCAGCAGCATCACCAATAGCAGCAGTGGCACCGTAAGCTGCAGTAGCAGCACCAGCACCACCACCACGACCAGCAGCAGCAGCACTAACAGAAGCAGCAGCACCAACAGAAGCAGAAGTAGCAGCTGCACCAGCAGATCCACCAGCAGCAGCACCACCACCACCAGCAGAAACACCAAGACCACCAGCAGCAGCACCACGACCAGCAGCAGGACCGGCAGCAGCAGAAACCATTAGTTTAAACAGCAGCAGCAGCAGCACCATCACCATCCGCAGCAGGAGCACCAGAAGGACCAACATCTGTAGCAACAGCACTAGTAACAGCAGCACCAGCAACACCAGTTGCAGCACCACAAGCAGTAGCACCATCACTTGCAGTAGCACCAGTAGCAGCAGCAGGTGCCAGCATCAGCAACACCAGCAGCAGCACCACCATTAGCAGCAGCACCATCACTAACAGCAATACCGCCAGCAGCACTACCAGCAGAAGGACCATCAGCAGCACCACCACAACCACCAGCACCACGAGTATCAGCAGCAGCATGAGCAGGAGAACTACCAACAGCATCAGCAGAACCAGCAACAGCAGTAGCACGAACAGCAGCACCATCACTAGTAGCAACGCGAGCAGCAACACCAACACCACCACCAGAGCATCAATAGCAGGAACAGCAGCAGCACTCGCATCAGCATCAGCCGCACTGCCACCACCACCACCACCACCAGCAGTAGCACCACACCATCAACGGCACCACCAGCATCATCATCATCATCATCAGCACCACCACCAACACTAGCAGCACCTGCTCCAATAACCACCAGTAGCTGCACCACCAACAGTAGGGACACAAGCAGCATCAGCAGCATGAGCACTAGCAGCAATACCAGCAGCAGAAACCAGCAGCAGCAAGAGCACTAGCAGCAGCACCACCAGCAGCAGGAGCAGTAGCCGCAGCAGCAAAAGCCAGCAGCAGCATAAGAAACAGCAGCAGCAGCACCAGTACCACCACCAACAGCACTACCAGCAGCAGCACTGCCATTAGCAGCAGCAGCAGCAGCAAAAACAACAGTACCATCAGCAGCAGCAGTACTACCAGTAGCTGCACCACCACCACCAGCAGTAATAGCATTCCCACCTCCAGCACCATCAGCAGCAGCACCACAAGCATCAGCACCAGCAGGACAACACCAATGGCAGCAGCACCAGCAGCAGCACCACAAACAGCAGCAGCAGCACCGGCAGCAGCACCATCAGCAGCAGCAGTACCAGCACCACCACCAGCATCATCACGACTACCAGCAGCGGCACCAACAGAAGCAGAAGTAACAGCTGCACCAGCACCAGCAGCACCGGCAGCAGCACCACCACCAGCAGCAGCAGCAGCACGAGTACCACCACCACGACCAGCAGCAGCACCAACAGAAGCAGAAGTAACAGCTGCACCAGCACCAGCAGCATCGGCAGAAGCACCACCAGCAGCACCACCACCACCAGAAACACCAAGAGCACCAGCACTACTACCAGCAGCAGTAGCACCAGCAGTTGTAGCACCAGTAGCACAAGCAGAAGCAGCAGCACCACCCCCAGCAGCAGCACCACCACCACTACCAGCACCAACACCTGTAATAGCAGCACCAGCAATCACCAGTTGCAGCACCTGAAGCAGCAGTAGCTCCACCACCAGCAGCACCAGAAGTTCCAGCAACAGCACCTTCATTAACAGCACCACCAGCAGCACTACCAGAAGCAGAAGTACCAGCACCACCACTACGACCAGCAGCAGCAGCACCAGCAAAAACAGTACCAGCAGATGTAGCAGCAGCACCAAAAGCAGCAGCAGTACCGACAACCGACAGAAGCACTGACAGCAACATCAGCGGCACCAGCAACAGCACCGGCAGCAACAGCACCAATCCCTGGAGCAGTAGCACCACCACCACTACTAGCACCAGCAGAAGTAGCAACAGCACCACCAGCAGCACCACCAGCACCAGCATTACCAGCAACACCAGTAGCAACACCAGTAGCAGCACCACAAGCACCATCAGCACCACCACCATCCGCTGTAGCACCACAAACAACAGCACCAGTAGGACCAACACCACCAGCAGCACCAGCACTATCCGCAGCAACACCACAAGCAGTAGCACCAGCATCGGCAGGACCAACACCAATAGCAGGAGCATCACTACCGGCAGCACCACTAGCAACAGCACCACTAGCAGCAGCACCAGCAACACCAGTAGCAGCACCACAAGCAGCAGCAGCCTCACCATCAGCAGCAGCAGCACCAGTAGCAGCAGCACCAGCAGCACCACCAGTACAAGCAGCACCAGCACCACCAGCAGCATCACCAGCAACAGCACCAGCAGCAGCACCACCGCCACCAACCAGCACCAGTCCCACCAGCAGCAGCACAAGCAGCAATAGCACCAGCACCAGTAGAAGCAGCACCGGCAGCAACACCAGAAGCAGCACAAGCAGCACCAGAAGCAGCACCAACAGCACCTCCACCAGCAGTACCAGTGTAAGCAGCAGCACCACCACCACTAGCAACACCACTACAACCAGCAGCAGCAGTAGCACCAGCACTACCAGAAGCAGCAACAGCCAACACCACCAGCAGCAACAGCATCTCCATTAGCAGCAGCACCACCAAAAAGCACCAGCAGCAGTAGCTCCAGCAGCAGTAGTAATCAGTAGAAACAGCAGCAGCACCAACAGCGGCACCACCAGATCCAGCAGTAGCACCAACAGCACCAGTCGCACTACCAGCAGCAGCATCAGTAGCAGCGGCAGTAAACACTAGCAGCAGCAGCAAACACCACCAACACCAACAGCACCTCCATCAATACCAGCAGCCAGCACCAGAAGCAGCCAACACCTCCTGCAGCAGCAGCGGCAGTACGAGCACCAGCAGCAATATCACCAGCAGCAATATCACCAGCAGCAGAATCACCAGCAGCATCAGTAGTACCAGCAGCAGTACCACCACCACCTGCAGTAGCAACAGCAGTATCATCAGTAGCAGTAGTAGCAGCAGCACCAGTACCACCACCACCACCACGAGCAGCACCAACAGCAGCAGCAGCAATATCAGCAGCAGAAACAGCAGCAGCACCAGCAGCAGTACCACCACCTGCAGTATCATCAGTAGCAGTAGCACCAGCAGCACTACCAGCAGCAGTAGCAGTAGCACCAGCAGCACTACCAGCAGCAGTAGCAGTACAACCACCAGCAGCAACAGTAGCACTAGCAGTACAACCACCACCACCAGCAGCGGCACCACCACCACCACCAGCAGCGGCACCAGCAGCAGCACCAGCAGTAACAGCAGTAGTAGCACCAGCAGTACCAGCAGCAACACCACCAGCAGCAACACCAGCATTGGGACCTATAACCTGGAAATAAATATATGGTGTGATTATTGGGTTTATACTTCGTTGAACCAGTTCACTGTTTACCTACAATGTACATGTAGCCTACATTATTTGTATATCTGTAGTCAAAGTGCACTTGTATAATTGTACTTTCTATGTACTGTACATGCTGATCCAGTGCATACTCTTATGGCGGTTTTACTGAATTTCTCATTACCTATCCAGTGTAGGTCAGCGTGGATCTAACCTGACTTAATTTAATTGAGAATCACTGTGCAGTTGGTTACGTGAGTAACTTTACGACAGTCTATAAGTCTATAAAGACCTGTCCGTGTCCTTATAGAGGTTCATACTGTCTATATACGCTGAATTAATGTATACTTCCATGACGATTTTACTGATTAGTTATTAACTTGATTTTCGAAACCTCTTCAGAGTGAACAAGGCTTCACGTCTACGTCAAGAAGGTAACTGGAGAATAGGCGACTGATGGGGAAGGGGACACGTGCCCCCCCTGTGACAACACTCATCCTCCGGGTGCCCTCCTATACAGAAATTCAGGGCGTCTTCTGAGAACTTGATGTGGCGCATCACCAAAGCTGCGAACGTAAACAAACAAACCCAGTGGATTCATAAGCATTTGCGTCTTGCAGTTAGTGTACGGCGATCCACAGTCGCCCGTAAAAATTAAGTAAATTCTTTGAGTGAAAAGTCATATTTTGGTAAAGACACAGACTTTCCAACACTTGACACAATTCATGACCTAAATTTTGTGTGCCGTTTCGTTAGTCGTATAAATGAATTTTCTAAGTCAATATTAGGTTAAGTCCATTATTTTATAGCAAGATAAGACTTAATTCTTTACAAGACCTACGATTTCTTATATAAAAGGGTTATTTATGTCTAAGTACATTTTGGTAATTATAAATGACTTGGTACAAATTCTAAAAACAATAATATTCTGCATCTGCATTAAAGAGTACATAACCTACATCTGTACTCATATATACTGTATACAACTCATTTACTTTGAAACCCGGCATAATTTACGTCCATTTCTGTGTTACTCTATTGTTATTTACAGCATTGTTCTGTTTTGCTATTGTTTTTTTTATTATAATAACAATAAAATTATAATGAGGCTCCTTTTGTTGTTACTGTTGTTATAGCTCAGTGGAGGGATTGTATGTCACTGTAAAGTTGATTATCTGGACTTATATCTGTTTCATGCTAAACCTTTACAGGGCGCCGAGACCTCACGCAGCTCAGTCAGTTTCACCCACTGTTTATCTTTAGCTCCCAGTAAAGATGAGACATGACGCTGTGACAGTAATTATAAATAACGACGAGTGTGTGCGACCAATAGACACGTTGAGGGAGGAGTTAGTAAGAGTGTCATGTTCCCGGAGTATCATTGGCTTAGGTCTGTTTGGGAACACTGCGACGGTTTTGGCCCCGAGACGTCGCCTTAAGAGAAAACGAAAAAAAATGAAAGAAAACTGATGCCAAAAATAGGGCAGACTATCATGTTTTATTATCATTTTATTACGCATGATGTATTCAAGCTGCCTCGCCTGTACTAGATGTTAAGACTGTCACTAAGACGCCACGTCTATCTAGTTGACGGCCTTGGCGCCTAGAATGTAGACAACAAATTTATTTTGGGTTCACAACACGGTCACACAGTGTAAATATAAGATAAGTGGTGAATCTTTATTCACCAGCATTGCCAGATAAAGAAAGAAATAAAGACAAACAGAAATAAGGATGGAAAGGTAGAGAGAACAATGGAGGGCTAAAAGAGAGATGAATACTCACCAAGGCAACTCTTACACTCGAACAACCCAGCATCAATATCCATGAAGTGGCAGACTTTCTCAAACTTAATTTTCGAGTCTCACAATGATTACCGTAATGCCAATATGGAAAACAGTGATCCCGATCGTGGACAAGCTGCTTACTGACACAGATAGACCCACAATTTGGCAGAAATGAACGTGAAAACGGATATGACATACTGACTGGCTCTTGACGTCCTTGTTGTCCACTAAGTTCTAATGAAGGAATTAATACAGAAAATTTCTCAATTAAATTGTCAGGAGTAAGAGCTGTTGAACTCACCTGCCAGAAATTTTTGTGACACCACCAAGTATGCTCTCCTTTAAATCCATACTTGACCAACACTGGAACATGTTCAGGTGTATTCAAGTGCCCTAATTTACCCAGTCC